AATATAGAGGTTTGTTTGAGCATAAATCATGTTGATATGTACAACAAATGAAAGCCAAGTTTGGGACAAGGTGTATCTGTTCTGCCCTTTGTTACAAATTCTTTTTTGCTGATTAAAATTTGTGTACATTAAAATTTAATCAACACAACAGCAGAAAGTTTTGACTCGCTTTTCCTCGTTCGTTTTTTTTCTGCTGTCGTGTTTACTGCAGCAGTTCCGAAGTTAAAAACTAAAGTACAGCTGCAAAAATTGTTTAAATTTGATACAAGTATGTTTTGATTTAGTAGAATCAGGTAATTTTAGTAATTTTCTGTTACCTGTTGCTGTGCTGAACAATAAGAAAATGGAAAGAACTGCAGAACAATGCTTTGTTTAGTTAATAGGAAGCTCAAATTTTGGAGAATACTGTGCAGTGTCAACAACCTTAAGTAGAACAATGAACCAAATTAAACCACTAAAAGCCTCGACTGCTAACAGATTAAAGGTCTATGCGAAGAAAGAGCGGAGGAAACTCTTGTTTTCTTTTTTATTATATTTTGGAAAGACTTGCGGAGAGATAGGAAATTTGTAAGGTGTTTTTTGAAGTGTACGACGGTTAGGTGTTTCTAAACGGTAACCCAATTTATTTCTTTATTCACTTACTATACTTTCTTATTTTTTTCTACTAATTTTATTACTGCCTGGTAAAGTGATCGTTATACGAAATTTTGTTTAAGTTATGAAAGACTTAGCACATATTTGCATTTCAAGACAAAAGAGTTTATATTTAAAATGATGCTCTATTAGCTTGGTTGAAAGATTAACGCCAAGAAAAAAACTTGTTAATTATATTCTGGATGACAATTCAGTGGTTTAAAGTTTACTTCTTTGTTTCTGTAAGGTCTGCTCAGAGTTAGTCTTATATACATCTTATTCAATATAACCTGAATAAGCTCCTGTATTTTTCATCACTGATCTTTCATCTGAGTTATTAATTGATCGTTAGAAGAATCAATCACTTACTTTTTGGGACCAAATTTACGGATCAACTCATTTGCACTTTTTTGACTTTCATATTTTGCTTTTAGGTTTAGAAACTTTTTACTGAGTTAATCCATTATTTTAAAAAAAAAAAAAAAAGAAAAAAGGTTTGAAAGCTGTTGCCTTTGAAGATTACCGGCATCTTATGGTTTTTGACCAAGTTTAGAGAACTGGTTAACAAAAGCTGACCAACCAGTTTCATATCAAATTTTGTGTAACACATTTGTTAATAACGGACAAAAACTTTTTCATAATTTTAAGGATGATTATAAATGAGAAATCTTCAACTGTGAATGTTGAAAAACGTAATAAAAATAAAAAAGAGTTTGTAAACTCTAATTTTTTTCTCATTAAATGATCAAATAAGTTTCAAAAATTTTAAAAAAACTTATAATGCTTTATTTCTTAAGGCTTTTTGTTAAAGTTTTAGCTCAACAGTTATAAAAGTAGTGCAGATATAACTAAAGCGACAAATGAAAACTTTTGAGAGGACGTTATGAAAAATAAACTGTATAAAACAGTGTTCTGCGATAATTATTCCAAGTATCGGTGGTGATGCAGTTTTTTTTTTTTTTGAAGAAAAACTCAGAAAGATACTAAGTTGCTGTAACAGTTGCAATGTTTTTCAATCAAAGAGATGGATAAATACATAGACGGTGGAGTAAGCAGGCAGGTTTTCTTAATCACTAATCCAATCTTATGGTCGAAATTAACATAGCCGATTAACGCTATTCTCTAATGTTCTGGAAAAATTTCTGCATATGATCTGTTTTACAGTTCCACAACAATCAATCTCACAAATATTCTTTGCAGTTATGCTCCAAAAATTGGTAAAGCTGAAAAACATGCAGAGGATTTGAATGTTGGTCGGCAAATTCTATCACTGGATTTGAGAAAAATTTCTTTTAATCTTCTAATATTACAGTTATATTCCCCATCATCGGTTCTCTATATCGCTTTTTCCTCTTTATCTTTCCACTCTCAACTGTGACAGACAAATAGAAGAGGAAAAAATGGTAGCAAGATGAAAAAAAAAGCAAAAATTGGATATATTTTCAATTTAATTAAAGCTTCTTTCTTTTTGACGTGTATATTTCATTTAGAAATTTATATTGTAATAAAAACTAATGTACATAACGTGGTGTCATTTCCATCTAGAGATCAGCATTGTCTATCGTTCTTACTTTTTGGTTTATCAACTTTTTGTTGTGTTATTGATCAGCTCCTGAACGTAAATTAGTTTTATTTAATTATTTTTTTGCCATCATATTTTGCAAAGAGTTAAAACTGGTTATTGAAAAGGGACAAAAGGAAACAGTTTTTTTCTGCTTTTATTTTTTTTTATTAACTTTGATAAACAAAAATGCTTGAATAAAACAAATCGTATATATTGTCTGTCTGTGTTTGTGTGTGTGTGTGTGTGTGCGTATCTTTATATTTATTCCTCTATTTATTATCATATAACGCAGTAATGAGAAGGTGAGACATTTTGAACAGATGGCTACTGTAGCTGATAATAATCTCTTATATATTTTATCTGCATTATACAGACTAACTAATATCTATGTTTCGATATGGTGTTTTGTTCATTTATTGCCGTTTTTGCTCAGTTAAATAACTGATTTGTTGTTCTCTTTCTTCTTCTTAACCATTTTCAACTTTACTTCATGCAGATTTGTACGAAGAAAAATGAATATCTAGACACATCAAATATAATAAATTGAAATTGTTGAAATTGATGGGATAATCTGCGCGATACGACGACAGATGATACAGAAATTACAATTATTACATTGCGGTATTCCGAAGTTTACTTAATCTTTCTTTCTGGTCATTGTTAACAGATTGAAAAGCTATATTTAAAATAATATTCTGTATAATGTCTAGTTTTGTTTAGTTGGAGTAGTCTTCCTATCATTAGGCTCCAAAAATGTTTGACTGTAAATACACTTTTGCCAAAATCGCTTCGACACGTTTAATGAACAATTGGTTGGTTGCTATTGTCGCTGTTCTTATGATTGTTACTATCGGCTGCTTGATAACCTCAGTTAATTTATAGTTTGCAATTTGGCCTTTAATCTATTTGAAAATTTTTAGATTCGTTTTTTTTTTTTTTTTTTTTTTTTTTTTTTTTT